GCAGCAGCAGCCTTAGCGTCTCCTGCCCGTCTCTGGTTTCCGAGCTTTTCTCGCGCCCGTCTCTGGAGCTCCTTTAGGCAGCGCTCTTAAAACCCCTCTCCTCGCGCCCCAGGAAACACAGAGGCAAGAAAAGGTCTCTTGCCTCTTGGGTAGGTCCAGACTTTTCCCCGGACTCCCTCCCGGCTAGCCGTGGCGCACTTACCCCTTCGGGCTATGTTCAAGCCGCCAACCCCAGTCCTCTCCCTGAGCTCCGACCGAAACCGCAACCGAGCCTCAGCTCGCAGCCCCGCCCGCCCCCGGCGGGTGAGCACACGAGCCTCTCGGGCTGGTGAGCGCCGGTCGGCGCCGATCCTCTGTGCGGGAATCTCTCCGCTTTGCCCTCCGCGCCCCTGTTGCTGTGCTGTCCTCCGCGGCTCCGAAGCTCCCCGCTCCGCCTCCCGCAATCTCTGCCCGCGAAGGGGCTCCTAGTGTGTGGAGACCTTTCCTCCTTCACGGCTCCCTCCCACTGGTGCAGGTACCGTCCTTATCCTTTTGTCTCTGTTTATTCTTTTTTCTCTTGCCCTACCCAGGTACGTGGGGAGTTTCTTGCCTTTTGGGAGGTCTGAGGTCTCCTGCCAGCGTTCAGTAGGTGTTCTGTAGGCGTTGCTCCACGTGTAGATGTATTTCTGGTGTATCTGTGGGGAGGAAGGTGATCTCTGCGTCTTACTCCTCCGCCATCTTGGAAAGAGTCAGTCCCTCAATTTCTTTTTTAAATTTTATTTGTTTATTTTATTTTTGGCTGTGTTCTTCGTTTCTGTGCATGGGCTTTCTCTAGTTGCGATGAGTGGGGGCCACTCTTCATCGTGGTGTGTGGGCCTCTCACTGTCGCGGCCTCTCTTGTTGCAGAGCACAAGCTCCAGATGCGCAGGATCAGTAGTTGTGGCTCACTGCGGCATGTGGGATCTTCCCAGACCAGGGCTCGAACCCGTGGCCCCTGCATTGGCAGGCAGATTTCAACCACTGCGCCACCGGGGAAGCCCTATTTATGCTTTTTTTTTTGCAGTACGCAGGCCTCTCACTGCTGTGGCCTCTCCCGTTGCGGAGCACAGGCTCCGGACGCGCAGGCTCAGTGGCTGTGGCTCATGGGCCCAGCCGCTCTGCGGCATGTGGGGTCTTTCTAGACTGGGGCACGAACCCGTATCCCCTGCATCGGCAGGTGGACTCTCAACCACTGTGCCACCAGGGAAGCCCAATTTATGCATTTTTAAAATGAGATTGCAAGCTTTAATTGCCTAATTTTTCCTTTTTTTTTTTTAAAAGCCTCCAGCTGTTCCAGACAATAGAAGACAAGCAGAAAGTCTTTCATTAACTAGGGAGGTTTCTCAGAGCAGAAATCCATCAGTTTCAGAGCATTTACCTGATGAGAAAGTCCAGCTTTTTAGCAAAATGAGAGTGTTACAAGAAAAGAAACAAAAAATGGACAAGCTGCTTGGAGAGCTTCATACACTTCGAGATGAGCATTTGAACAATTCATCATGTAAGTACATCTAAGCAGTATTAGGTAGAGGACACTAAGTATATATGCCAACATGTAATAATTCCTTAGTAAATATTTGGTGAATGAATAAACACATAGTTACTCAAGAAAATTATAATTTTTGTGGGGAAGTAGGACTTGTATGTGAAAAGTTTTTAAGTAACAAGGCAATGTATCGTCAAGCCAAATAGATGGTAGATCTGTTCTGTACAATTCAGAAAAGGAAAAGAATGAATTTGGGCTTGAAAAATTGGTAGGATTTTATTTTATTTTTTATAAATTTATTTATTTATTATTATTTTTGGCTGTGTTGGGTCTTCGCCACTGCACGCAGGCTCTCCCCAGTTGCGGCGAGCAGGGGCCACCCTCTGTTGCAGTGCTCGGACCTCTCACTGCGTGGCCTCTCCCGTTGCGGAGCATGGGCTCCAGGCATGTGGGCTTCAGCAGTTGTGGCCTGCGGGTTCTAGAGCACAGGCTCAGCAGTTGTGGTGCATGGACCCAGTTGCTCCGCGGCATGTGGGATCTTCCCGGACCAGGGCTCGAACCCGTGTCCCCTGCATTGGCAGGCAGACGCCCAACCACTGTGCCACCAGGGAAGCCTGGTAGGATTTTAAATAAGGGAAAAGTATAAGGAAGGTAATTGTTAGACACTTTGACATAATAATACTGCACTTTTTAGCATATCCAAAATTTTTCCTTAAGGAAAAGCTAAACCAAATTAGTACTTTCATTTTAAAACTATGAAACAGATTTAGAAAGTATTTATACAATAAAAACCTGAGATATGAAAAACTTATTTAGTACAGAAAGTCCCAAACACTTCCCATTTTTTAAAATACATAAATAGTCATCTCAGGTGGGACTCGGAAAGGCATATAGTCATCCTAGGTATACTAGTTAAATAGTTATACAACTATCCCTCAGTATCCATGGGTGATTAGTTCCAGCACCCTCACCCACACCCCTATGGATATCAAAATCTGAGGCTGCTTAAGTCCCTTATTTAAAATGGCATAGTATTTGCATGTAACATAAGCATATCCTCCAGTACACCTTAACTCATCTCTGGGTTACTTACAATACTTAATACATGTGAATGCTATATAAATAGTTACCAGCATGCTGCAGATTCACGTTTTGCGTTTTGGAACTTTATGGAATTTCTTTTTTCCTGAATATTGTCTGTCTGCTTTTGGTTAAATCCGCAGATGCAGAACTCTTGGCTATGGAGGGCCGATTGTACTAGTTATATAGGAAAGCCAATAGTCATCTTAGTTATACTGTAGGAACTGTCATTTCTGCTCTACAGATTACTTGCCTTTGTCTAATTCAGATCCAGTTACTAGTCCTCACTTGGCCACATACCTTCCCAAGCCTGGTCCCTGCCTCTTACTCAGACAGTTGGTAGTAGGAGCTGTAGCATTGGGTATTGGAATCAGTAGGGTCAACCCTAACTGGTCATTATTCTTTAGCATTCCAGATGCTGTCTTATTAAAGAACAGACAAGGGATAGAAACGTCATCTCTGGATCCCTGTACTTCACCCTAGTTGTCTGCCACCTTCAAAGAACTGTACTGTTTCTGCCCTGAGACATGCTCCTTTTTTTTCCCTGACTTGTGCTGCTTGTCGGCCTCCTCTAGAGTAGAAGCTAATCCCAGTGCCCATCCTCCCTAAACAGATGAACACAGCCAAGAAAAACTTAGTTTTTCCAAAGTTGTACTCAAAGCCTTGTGGTCAGTTTTATACACATAATTAAAGTAGCACTCTGTCTACTGATGACTAAAAAATCATATATTTCTCTGGGAAACAGTGAAAGCAGAGCAAAAGGTAGAACAGTCAAGGAATAGAGAGAAAAGACTACTGGAAACCAGCTGTAGCAGTGGATAACGTGAGCAACAAATGACGATTGTCACTGAGGAAGAGATAAATGATGATAGTTTTAAAGTGGTAGTGGACTTGCCTGGTGGTGCAGTGATTTAAGAATCTGCCTGCCAGTACAGGGGACACAGGTTCGAGCCCTGGTCTAGGAAGATCCCACATGCCGTGGAGCAGCTAAGCCCATGCACCATAACTACTGAGCCTGCACTCTAGAGCCTGTGAGCCACAACTGCTGAAGCCCGCGTGCCTAGAGCTTGTGCTCCACAGCAAGAGAAGCCACCACAATGAGAAGCCTGTGCACCTCAATGAAGAGTAACCCTGCGCTCACCGCAACTAGAGAAAGCCCACATGCAGCAACGAAGACCCAACGCAGCCAGAAATAAATAAATAAAAAGAAAAAAATAAATAAACTGGTAGGAGAGAGAGAAGCACAAAGATTCTTAGTCTTCATTTATTACCCTTGAAAGCATAAGATATCTTTGTCTGATCTGTGTGGACAGAAAAGTAATTAAAATGTAGTTCAAGAGCTGTCTTAGAGGATTAATCATCATCTAATTAGAAAATTTTATTGCTGAGTAGTATTCATGGTATTATGTACCACAGTCACTTTAACAATTTTGCTTTATCTTTTGGAACAAGAAAAGTTCCATCTTGGAGACCAGATAGAATCCCTCTGGACTGGAACGTTCTCAAGGACCTAATCAGCTAGGGTTGCCCTGTAAAGATTTGTAGGTGGTGTGCTTGCACATCATATGCAGTGGCTCTATGTAACTTAACCTGGAACCAAGTTTATCAGAGGAGTACTCTCGTTACTTTCTCAAGGTAGAATATCGTAGTTCTTGTTGGTTTCCATCTTGTCTTTCCTTATTCTTTCCTTTCTGTTTTAACTGTTTGGTTGAAGGACATGTTAATAAACAAGTGGCCTGGTTATATCCTTAAGTTTCACATTTTAAAGCTGCAGGATTTAAGATGTTAATGACTTTTACTTTTTAGTTTTCTATGTCTGAGTCAACTATGAATGTGTTGTTTGATGCTGTATTTGTTTATTTATGGTAACTGGTCTTTTTTTTTTTTTTTGGTAGTTGTGCCTTCTTCAGCCTCCCCACAAAGGAGTGTGGATCAGAGAAGTACAACCGCAGCTCCCTCTGCTCCTGTAGGCTTAACACCAGTTGTCAACGGAGAATCCAGTAGCCTCACATCATCTGTTCCTTATCCTGCTGCTTCTCTAGTTTCTCAGAATCAGAGTGAAAATGAAGGCCACCTAAATCCAACTGAAAAACTCCAGTAAAACATTTCTACAAACATTGTTTACATAGATTAGAATTGAATAACGGGGATAAATCTTGGGGGTTTTTTCTTTGTTGAAAATTCTGGAAAAACTGAGTTAATTTGATATGATAAACATTCTTAAGTGGTATGGTGGTAGAATAAGTGTGTGTGTTATATGTGCATCTTTGAGTTGTGTCCTAGAGAAATGTGACATTGTAGTAACATGTACTTTCTATGAGCTAATGTATTCCTGTTTTCCAAATAAAGGGACTAAAGTTAAAAGATTTCTGTATTCAAATGGTTTAGAGCCCAGGCTTTAGAGTCAGACAGCCCTGAAATTGTATCTCACAAGGTTGTGTGACTGTGGACAAATAGCACCCTCACTAAGCCTCTTTTTCTTCACCTGGCATAATATATTTGTTCATAAAGGTGTCTTAAGGATTAGAAAACATTGGCATAATTCCTGGGACTCAGTAAAAATTCAACAACCTAATTATTCTTTTTGGTAAACATGTTATATAGTATGGTAACTGGTAGATCTCTATATGTTGTAGACAAATTGGGAACCTTCTGTAAATGCTCAGTAATGCCTGCATACCTGGTTTGCCTAAGAGGTACTATTTTAATGGAATATTTAGTACTTTACATTTTTGATACTTATTAAGAAACAGGAATGTTTTTAACATTGAGACTTAAGCTGTTAACATCTATACCTGCTTAAAGTGAACACTTGGAAGAGGGTTTCTTATGCTTTTGTCCATAACACAACATAAGTAAATAAGGTGATGAGATTTTGAATAACCTGTACTTGAAATTACATTCATTATAGTCACATACCCTGGATATTTGACTGGGTTTAAATTTTGTTTGTGCTGGCTGCTACTGTATGAAAATAGTGTATGCTTTATTTTGCTAAAATGGGTGTTAATATAAATGTTTTCATTGTTTATCAGGAAGTTAAATGAAGTTCGAAAGAGGTTGAATGAGCTAAGAGAATTAGTTCATTATTATGAGCAAACATCAGATATGATGACAGATGCTGTAAATGAAAACACAAAAGAAGAAGAAACTGAAGAGTCAGAATATGATTCCGAGCATGAAAATTCTGAACCTGTTACTAACATTCGGTAAGAACTTTTTTTTAAGTTGTTTTTCTAACATATTCACCCTAACAATACATTTAGTATGAAACAAAAGAAACCTCAATAGAGTGCCTACCGTTTGCCTTTTATTTAAGCTTTTCTCCTGTAAGTCTGCTGTTTTGGTTAGTGTACTCTTACTTGTTCTGTAAAGAAAAACAAATAGGAAAGTATTGAACACAGTAGTTTAGTAAATTTGCTGTTTGTTAGATCAACTAAAAGTTAATCATAAGAAGTACGTAACTTCATTTTCCTACCTCTTTATTTTTAGGTGTAATTTTGATTTTTTTGGTTGTGATTTTGATTGTTTTAGATGTTTTTCTTCTTAAATTTGTGAATAGGAGAAGTTAGTGAAAAGCAAGAGCCGTTTATTTAGAGGATGAATTTAAATGGGGAAATAGCCAATGATGTTCATAGTCTGGAATTATTTTATCAGCAGTTCTAAAACTTTGATTTTTTTATTATTACATATATTTTTTACTTTAAATAACTTCAGGTTGTTTTCTTTCTTTTAGAAATCCACAAGTAGCTGCCACCTGGAATGAAGTAAATAGTAATTCTAATGCACAGTGTGTTTCTAATAATAGAGATGGGAGATCAGTTAATTCTAATTGTGAAATTAACAACAGATCTGCTGCCAACATAAGGGCTCTAAACATGCCTCCTTCTTTAGGTATGATTGACTCTATTCACAGATAATTTTACCATATTATTCTTGGGAAGTGGAATTCCTTTCTTTAGTACTCTTAAGTTTATTAAATTATTGATTTCACTGGTACATGTTTTCAGCAGATTGTCGATACAATAGAGAACGAGAAGAGGGGATTCACGTTGCACAAGGTGAAGGTGAGGAGGAGGAGGAGGAAGAAGCAGAAGATGAGGCAGTCAGTGGAGCGTCATTATCTAGTCATCGGAGCAGTCTGGTTGATGAGACGCCTGAAGATGCTGAATTTGAACAGAAGATCAGCAGACTTATGGCTGCAAAACAGAAACTTAGACAGTTACAAGATCTTGTTGCATTGGTGCAGGTAAATGCTGCTTGTATTTAAAAAAAAAAGTGTCAAATGGACAGTCTTATAAGGTAAAATTTATGTGTTTGATAATTATGTTGGTATAAGTATACTAGTACACATTTATTGAGTTCTAACTATATACCAAGTTTAAATGCTTAGCACTTTACATGCCATATTATCAGAGATCAGCAAACTTTTTCTAAGGGTGACTTAGTAAATATTTTAGGCTTTGTGGGCTATACAGTTTCTGTCACAACTACTCAGTGCAAAAGCAGCGATAGACAGTATGCAAACAGATGAGCATGGCCGTGTACCAGTATAACTATTACAAAAACAGGTTTGTTCGTTTTTTTGCTTGGAGACCCCAGTTCTATATCACATAGAACTTGGTAACATCTCAGTGAGGCAGATACACAGATTAAAGGTGTTAATTGACCAGAGTTATACCATTGTCAGAGCCAGAGTTGAGACTGACATTCTGGCTGAGATCTTAACTCACTTGATGTAGAAGAAAAACCATATTGTCTTATTCAGTAAGGCCAAACAAGTAAAGTTGGAACTATTAGTTGTAAATTTTAAAAAGCCATTTGAATGTATGAATGTGAAATTATGTAACTATTAACACTTCTGTATTGACTGATGTGGTCCAAAGGCTTTTTGCAGTTTATTAGACTAGGTATAAAACTTTCTAAGAATGATTGAACTTTTAAAAATCATTCCTTTTCATCTGTTTTATATATATATGTATGTATGTATGTTCTTAGTAACATAATCACTATAAAAATATCTTTAAGAGATACTTCCTAAAGTATTGAAATTTATATGATTTTTGGAAGCCAAAAAACTTCTGGTAAAATTAATGAGTGATTTGTTTTCATTTAGGTTTGCTTAGCTTGTGTTAGGTTGAAAAAAATGAAGTATAGAACATTAAAATTAACCACACTAATGTATAGAAAAACAATTTTTTTGTGAATGAAAAAAATTCAGTTGTTATTCACAACTTCTTTTGGAATGCTACTTATTTTAAATTACTCAAGTTAAAGATGAATGTGCTCCCATTTTTAAATAAAGGAAACACTACTAGTAAACTCCCTCTGAGCCTTCATTCATAATCCCATTCTCCTTAACAGATGCTACCGTGCATATGTTTTATATATATATATACACACAGTAAATACAGTTCCTTTTTAGCTGCAACATAGTTTTCTGTAGGATCAGTGGACCTTAGTTCAGTTAATCTAACATCCTATTGATGTTTACTTTTATTTCCAGTTTTTCACTATTTAGAAACAACACTCCAATGAACATTCTTTCACAAGCTTTGTGGTGCATTTGTGTTTTTCAAGAGCAGATATGAAGAAGTGGAATTGCGTTGTCAGAGTTTATGCACTTTTTTTTTTTTTTTTTTTTTTTTGCTGTACACGGGCCTCTCACTGCTGTGGCCCCTCCCGCTGTGGAGCACAGGCTCCGGACACGCAGGCTCAGCGGCCATGGCTCACGGGCCCAGCCACTCTGCGGTATGTGGGATCTTCCCGGACCGGGGCACGAACCCGTGTCCCCTGCAGTGGCAGGCGGACTCTCAATCACTGCACCACCAGGGAAGCCCTGCACATTTTAATTTTAATGGACACTTCTTAATTCTTCTCCAGAATGACTAAATTGATATCTAAGCAGTGGTGGATGAATCCATTTCCTTATACCCTTGATTACATTTTATTTTATTGAGACCCTTGATTACATTTTATTTTATTGAGATACCATATAGCTTGTTTAACCATTACTGGAATTGGCTTTTGGCTTTTTCTAAGGTTTTCCTATTGTAAGAAGGGGTGTTGAAGGGAAGAAGGAGCATAAACACATGTATACAGACAAACACATACAGGTTTATATACACATGTATATATTTTTGCTTATATATTCAAAGTATATCTGTAGACAGATACATAAACTGATAACACTGGTTACCTATGGAGAATGGAATTGGGGAAAGGGATGGAAAGGAGATTTTTCTAAACATCTTTTTTACTTTTTGAACTTTGATCGTATGACAGAAGTACCATTTGAAAAAATTAAGACAGCTTCTAAAGCAAATAATAATATAGGTTGTGCTATCTTGAACATCATTGTACTTGTTAATTACTTTCTCATTTTTTCTTTATGACTCCTCTCCTCAGATGTATTGCCCAGAGTGGGAATAATAGATCAGAAATGATGAATAACTTAGTGGCTTATAGATGAATCAGCTTAATTTCAGGCTTATGTTGAAAGCAGCTCTTTTGCTTTAGTGAGTGTTCTAAGACCTGAAATAACATGTATGAAAAATGAGAAAACTGCAACACAGAGGGATTAAGGGTCCTCATTCTGAGAGCTATTAAAAAAAAATGATCCAAACTCCCCAAGTTTTTATATGTTTAAGATTGATACATTTTACTTATTTTATTTAGGGTAGTCTTCTTTTGCTTGTGCCCTTACTTATATCCTTTCCCAAGAGACTCAGGAGAAGGTTTAAACAGTTATATAGTTATCATAATTGTATAAAACTATTATTACTCTTCTGGATTAGATTAGCTTAGACAATTTATATGTCCCTTATATGGTTCCTTAGTCTGTGATGCAGCATGTGTTGAAACAATAATTCTTTAGTCAGTTACTTTTAGCTTTGGAGTTTATATCATTTCAGTTGTTCAGACACTCTCATGTGACAATCTGAAACTTTAGTTTCTTTTTTCGTACTTTGGTTTTTCCACTTTTTTATTGTGGGAAAATGCCTCATGATCCAGCTTCTCTGTTTTTGAGTCCCAACTCAGTTTCTTTTTAATCTTACCATTTTAGTAATAAATCAGGTTAGCTTTTAGATTGATGAGGAGACCAGAATAACACCATGTCTATAAGCTTAAAATCGATTAGACAGTTTTACAATCAAAGTTATCTTTAACTCTCTATTTCCAAAGGTTAAAGTTTCAGTTGATTTCTGCAGAGAAAGCATGAGTAAATATACAATATTAGTTTCCAGGCTGAAACAACTTTGTTTATTATTGTCAGTATCTTGTTTATTGTTCTTTCAGAATCAATAAAAGCTAAACTCCCTCTATGGTTTTACTACTAAACTCTCCTGGAAGGACGTGTAGTACTGAAAGTCGAGAATGCCAGAACAGGGAAGGAGGCGGACCTAACGATGCATCAGAGTTAAATCCACTTTACTTAACCTTTTCTGAGAAGAACTTGCTTCACTAATGTAAAACATGTGGAAAGATTCTTGTTTTGTTGTTGTTGTTGTTGTTTTTTTGCGGTACGTGGGCCTCTAACTGTTGTGGCTTCTCCCATTGCGGAGCACAGGCTCCAGACGCACAGGCTCAGTGGCCATGGCTCATAGGCCTAGCCGCTCCGCAGCATGTGGGAACTTCCCATACCAGGGCACAAACCCGTGTCCCCTGCATCGGCAGGTGGACTCTCAACCACTGCACCACCAGGGAAGCTGAATATTAAATGTTTTTAAGAAAATGGCATAGGTTACCTCCAATCTTTCATTTTTTTTTATGATTTAAAAAAACTAAATTTATATATTTTTGGCTGCGTTGGGTCTTCGTTGCTGCATGCAGGCTTTTTCTAGTTGCGGTGAGCGGGAGTTACTCTTCATTGCAGTGCGCTGGCTTCTCATCGTGGTGGCTTCTCTTGTTGCAGAGCACAGGCTTTAGGTGTGCGGGCTTCAGTAGTTGTGGCACGCGGGCTCAGTAATTGTGGCTCACGGGCTCTAGAGCGCAGGCTCAGTAGTTGTGGTGCATGGGCTTAGTTGCTCCACGGCGTGTGGGATCTTCCCGGACCAGGGATTGAACCCATGACCCCTGCATTGGCAGGCAGATTCTTAACCAATGTGCTGCCAGCGCAGTCCTCCATTTTAATAAGCACATTGATTTCAACAGAAGATACATATCTACTGTTAGGAAGATATGAGCTTTTGTTGTTTTTTCAGTAGTTACAGATTTGAGGTGGTACATTCTCATTTGTTTTTGTATTATGAGCCATTGGTACTTGTTTGGCAAACTAAAGACCAAAGTGAGGAAATGGAAAGCTTTTTAAGTGAACAAGTGATAATAGACATTGGTTGTTAAATTGTTAATGTAAAAGTCACATCTGAAGAAAAAGTATCTAATATCAAGAGTTCCAAGCTCCAATGATATATTTTGTATCTTTTTCATATTCTCTAGAAAGCTCTTCTTTGATTTTAGAATCTGGCCAGGAAAGAAAAGGCAAACTAGTACTTGCCATTGCTGGGTAATTGGCAACTCAAATTATTAATGTACTGTTTTTAGTTTTAGTACTTTATTTCCTGCCATTGGTAGAGGATGAATTTCATTGCTCAAAATCATATGCTTTCCCTA